AGCGTCCGAGTCAGTGCACGCATGCTTGCAGCTCCGCGCGTGACTGCGCGCGTGCGTGCGAGCTTGTGTGCGTGTGTGGGTGTGTGCGGTGCTCGCATGTGACAGAGCAACTGCATGATCCACACAGTGGACAAAATGCTGCTAATGAAAGAAAGTACGATCAACATGCAGAATGAACGTGACATTGATCAGTGAAAAGCTACTGTATCGTTGCAACAGTGATGGTTGTGGGTGAGAAGAGTGAGATGAGCAGGACAAAGACAAAGAGAGCTGCGTCGCCCTTTGTCAATTGGATAGAACGCGGCCTTTTTTGAAGAATAGTGAGGAAGTCCAATGGATTCATCTGAAATGTTTCTAGCACTTCTTGCTGAAATCAGTGAAGGAATTGATTTTAGATTACTTTCTGGAATAACAATATCGTTGGGTAATGCCATCACTGTCCACAGGAGGGACCATTTTTGAAGCTCTTCTTTGTAGCATTTTCTAGTTTTGATCTTTTTTGAGTAGATATTTGCACAAAACAATCTCAAGAATGTCGTCAGCGGCAACCGTAATTGTGACGTTTAGAAGTCATTGAATTTCGTGTACAAACCTGAAGAATAAGCTGTCCATTCCCTGCTCATCCACTATTACACATTCATTCGCTTGCACAGGTTCGGTAAGTTACGCAGGAAGAACGTCGAGACAGTTGTCATAAAAAGAAGTTGGGAGAACATAAACCGGTCCGGTAAAGCACGGCATGCAAGAAAACAATAATTGTTGCAATTGTGGCCCAGCTCGCTGACACCGAATACCAAAGTATTCTGCAAAATGTCCCAAAATAGGTTGAAGTACATTCGGCAAGGACACTTGACAACGGCAGAAGCAGTCGCAACCGGAATCCTGTACCAACCACGTGGCTAACTTAAGAAAATGGTTGCCGCATTTCGGTTACCGAGGCCCCAACCCAACTGTCTTTGCAAACCAAACCGTGACCTCAATCGAGTCATAATGAGGCAAAATGATATGACATGTCGAGCGGGAATATAGGGCATGGTAAATTGCTAAAAGTGACCTTGATCTCCATACCTTCTCAATTCGCTCCTATAGCACTTGACAGATGACATTGTTCTTTCCCATTTACTTAAATGCATCAGTCTTGTCGCTATTAAAGCACACAACCTAATGTAATTGCCTGACAAAGAAGTTACGAAAATAAGCTTGTTCGCTTTATTTTGTCTTCTAATAATCGATTTCTAAAGAAATCGATCATTCCATCCATCCACCGACTCTGGAAGAACGACTGCGAGTTTCAAGCGCTGAGTACATTGTACAAAATAAGGACCGAATTCCGTATTTGTCAACTGCGTGTAGATTGTTTCAAGCACAGGATGATGTCAACTTGTGACAAATTGTACAACAATAATCGCGAATGAAAGATTTGTTTGTATGAAAAAAATTGAAAAGGTGACATCACGACAGCAGCAGCAGCAACAACACATAACAACCTGAGCTTAGCGCTACACGCACAGATGTCTCAATGCTTTGGAAGGCCGACAAGGTCACACGATTTCTCCCAAAACCACTTGCGTTCCTGTTCGTCGTTGACCACGGGATTGGGTTCTTTCAAAGCACAGTTGGAGTATTATCCGCCTGGGATTAGATTTTCAATCAACACTGTGTACACGGTCGTCTGCGCACCATCCCAAGCGTTTATTTCAAATGGTCTGATAATAATGTTCAGCAATCTCTTTTGTTGATTTTAGCCGGAGATGCGTTGGAATATGTACAGAAAGAATATTGTTTGAGAAGGAATTTCATTATATGGTTTTGCAATGAAGCTGAAGATTTAAAAAATATATAAATTACCAGAAAAACGCATAAAAATTATAATTATAAACAATGAGAAGTGTTAACTACCTTAAGTCAAGCACATTTTTGAGGGATCTAATCTTTGGCGTTTAAGATTTTCATCTCATCCTTGTTCTACACCATCACCTCTATTGAACTTTACAAACACATATATTCTCTCAAGATGTCTTTTGCGCATGGTCCGGATAACTTAAGAACAACCAGTTTTATACACGACCCTAAGATACTGTCTCACATATTTGTACACTTGGTTAATCTTTCACTCGAGGTGCGAGCTATTCCGATGAGAATTACACCCATCCCGAAAGGAACGACAAAAGCCCCAATTGTGAAACGCTTCAGGCCAATTGCTCTCACTTCCACTGGTTTAAAATTGATGAAGCGGTTAGTTCTGCATCGCCTTTCAGTGCACAATTTGAGTAGTATCCACCAGGGGTAAGTTTCTCAACCAGCACTGTGTACAGAGTCGTCTGAGCGCCATCCCAAGCGTTCATTTGAAATGGTCTGATAACAGTGTCCAATAATCTCTTTTGTTGATTGTAGCCCGAGGTGTATTGGAGTATGAAGAAAAGAACATTGATTGAGAAGGAATTTCATTATATGGTTTCGCAATGAAGCTGAAAAGTTTGAAAAATATCAATGTCCAGAAAACGTACGAAATCGAATTGGTGTACCGTTCGGTTTTACAGAAAATCAAATCATCTTCGGGGGCGGGCAGAAGAAACGCTTATAGGAAAAATCACCCGTGTCGAATTAGCGCCATTTTTGATTGAAAAAAACAACAACAGTGAAGCGAAGAATTCTTTTTGATTATTAATTCTCTAGCTTCCACATTAATATACGATCACTAATTACCAAAATTGGTGATGATTCATAAAATAAACTGAGAATGGAGTAGACAGAGGGAGTCACAGGGTTATAATCCTTTGAATCAACTGATTACATAACATGATCATTCAGTCATCGTTTGGTTCTCTGCGCAAACAAAATACTGAGTTTTTCGTGGCACGAAAATATGACTTAATCGACCGTTGTTCAGAAAGTCATCGGGGGATTGAATGATCGGGTTACTTAATCAGTTTACCCCAGGGATTGCAACTCTGTACCTACTCCTCTCGTTCCTCGTAATCCAGTTTATTTTGTGAATCTTGTGCTAGTTCTGCCACAATAATGTGGAAGCTTGAGAGTGAATAAGCGAAAAGAATTCTTCATTTCAATGAGCATTTTAAAGTCTTGTTTTGATCTTGATGGGATGGAAATTCAAAAACGTTTTACTACCTTAGATTTAGTAAAGTACTAATGGCTTAAGATAAGCAGATTAACAACACTGCACGTGCCAGAAACCGAACGACAGAATCGCGTTGATATATATCGGATAGGAACGCGCATGACCTTGACAGCCCTTCTCACACTTCCAAGAGTATCTTTCGAGTATCTACCCCTTAACAAGTCGTTCGTTGATCTACATACCTTTCGGTCCCATCCATGTGATGACCTTGAATAAGGCAATCATGTAGACATAATTACATTCTTCTCGAGTTATTCATACTACAATTCACTCTCAGCAGGTTTGCGTTTGCAATTAATTCTAATTACTCCACCTGGAAAATGCTACGCTCGTTGTAATTCAAAATTTCAGTGAATCTATGGGTTCTGTATTAACCATTACGAACATGCCCCAAATATTTTCACAAAAAACCATTTAGGATCATTCATCAGAGCCGAAAACTGAAGATCAAACAAGGACTTCTGGTTGGATCCCAACCATTTGGAATGTATGGATGAAATGAAATTACTTACGTGATACTTATCATGGAAGTGCTTTTAAAGTCTCTGTGTAATTCCGTTTCCACCACACCCGGATGCAGACTGACCACGGTGACATTGGTTCCCTCCAGGCGTTCGCTCAGTTCCACCGCATGCATCACATTGGCCAATTTCGAAGAGTTGTATACGGACAACTGACCATAGTTTTCTTCCGTTGGCTGCAAATCCGGTTTGCACAACTGGCCATAATAATGAACCATGGACGATACAATGATGATACGCGATGGTGAGCCGGCCGCTTTCAACGCGGGCAACATGAGTTCGGTGAGAAGAAAATGACCCAGATGATTCACACCGATTACCTGTTCGAATCCGTCTTTTGTGGTCGAGAATATGTCCAATGACAAACCGGCATTGTTGATGAGATAGTGTATTTTTGGATATTTTTCCAACACTCGGGTTGCGAACTCTCGCACCGAGTCCAACGATCCGAGGTCCAATTGTTCAATAATCAACTGTTGATAAAACAGTGGAAGCACAGGGAATCAAACATCACAGACATTTGTTGGACTTTATCTCATTGTGGTTGTAACTCTGAATTAACGACGCTTTAATTTACTATTTGTCTCTCTGTTAGTGATAACAATTGACTCCGGTATGCTATGAGCAGAAAATTCATCCATCGGGATGAAAAAATCTATTCCTTACTCGATTTCACCTGAGAACCGACAATGTTCAACCTTTATTATCATTTAACCTCACACAAGTTGTCGCGGAAGCATTGGTTTCGCCTAAATGCTCCCTCATTTTCCACATGTAACACTTTGATTGAATTGCCCACTTTGACGGATAGACACAGTTTCACACGAATAAGGTTCAGCCCTGGTGTGAGCTAGCTGGCACATGCCTTCCATACGATAGGTCCGGAGTTCAAATCCCAGACGATGAATAAACACTACTGATGAGCTGTAATAAGAGCGAAACTCGAATCTGATGATTCCGAGCGTATGGGTGACTGGAAGAGCTGAGGAATGTGTGTGAAGGTGAAATCTGAAGAATGGTCACTTCTAATTTATCCATTGTTATGGGACTATTACAATATCTACCGTTTGTGAGGCATTTCACACCGGTTCTTTTCCCTTGTTTTCCGACAAGCGTAGTCTGATGATGTTCAGTTGATCAAGTATTGAAAATCGGTTCTTGTAGCTGAGATTAACTCAATTCCATTTCTCCTGTTCATCGAGCCTGACAAGTTGTTCGCAAACATTTCATCAACAGCCCGGGTGACATCATCAGTGAATGTGAAGTGGCCAAGCTCGGCAGACAGACAAATTGGATGAGATTAATCAAAACTACAGGTGTTGACCAAACTCGTGCAACATCACTCTCAGTTTGACAATCCATTTCAGCTTGCAATAGCATAGTTATATATAGATGGCTAGGAGTAAACTGTATTTAGTCCTGACCTTATCTCCAACATCTGTGTTCTTAGTTCATTTTTATCACCATTTGAATGTGCGCGACCTTGAGTGCAGATATAAAATTTGCAGTAGTTCGAAAGTTACAGCTCTGATTTGGAAAATATTTTGGGCAAAGCAGCATGGGAGCTTATTCTTTTTAATAGTTGATTCCTGTCCTATGAGATTTTCTATTAAGTTGAGCACACGTATTCTAAATTTCTATTCTGTTTTCATTCAGTGCACAGTAAAAAAGCAAGTTATTGAAAATATTCTAACCTAAATAAATCGCTAAATTATTAGGCTACAAACTACTCACGCATTATCTCCAATACTGGAAGAACTGAAAACATAGTCCAAGAAAGACATAAGTTGATCTTTGAAAATTGACCTTGAGATCTGCGGCTCGTTGAAGTAGTGTAGTGTCATCATGCCCCAACCGGATGAAACTTTCAAAAGGTTTTGGTATATAATTAAAGCCGAGAAGCAACTTAAACGAGAGGCGCATGAATCTGTTGGCTCAGTTGATATCTTGTGGAAGCGCTTCGATGTGGATATAAGTCCAATGTGTTGCATATCCAACGAAATTTCTTCATCAAGACATAAACTGAGAGGGAGAAAACCGGCCACAGCAAAGTAAGATGATGGTTGTATTTGATTGCAGCAGAGAATAGTTGCATAAAACCAATCTGGATGATAGTTCGGGCTGATTAACCATTTCCCCCCCACGCTTTCGTTTGGAAAATGATACCTGTAAAAAGTCTATGAGTCATTTTGATAAATAAATTACAGTTACGTTTTCTACTGTGACCTTGTCATCTTACAACTGATGCATTAGCAGACATCGTTGAAATCGCGAAATTGTACATTTTAATGGCATGTAGCCAATAGAAGCAGTGACATAAGTGGATATTATATCAGATGTGTTGCGTCTGATGTGGGGAAATATCATATTCAATCCCGTGAATGAGGCTGGAAAAACGAAGCATTGAGAGGAACAAATGTGATCAAAATCAGGATGTTGCACGAGTTTGGTCAATACCTGTAATCACGTGGATGCCCGTTTGTATACAGGGATGTGTTGCACTTAAGATACCAGGATGAAATAGATGGTTACACGCTGTGAGTCGGAATGTCTGTGTGCTGTTGAAAATCCAGTCCTAATGTTGAGGAATTTACAAAAAACGGTCAAAAACTAAAGCCTGCAAAATCCAACTACAGCAACCACAATGCTATTCGTACTGGAATGCTCTTTGGCATATTTAGCGGTGTCTTATCGGAAAGGGTACTATTTTTTACCAAGTGGACAATTTGTGAACTGCATGCACTTTTTGTGCCAGAATTGTCACGAACCTCATTTCCGACAAACCAGACTGTAACTGGAGAATAACACAATGACTCACTTGGTTGGCTTCAATGGGTTTCAACGAAGAGGCCACTGCCGGATCCGCTACGTCTTTTTTCATCCAATCCGGGTTCGTTGCACCGTAATCCGCTAGCAATCTGGTCTTTGCGGTTTCTGCCCGCTCTACGCTTCGACACGCCATGATCACCGTGGCACCACGTCGTGCCAGTTCTCCGGCCGTACACAATCCGATACCCGTGTTTGCACCAGTGACAATGGCTATTTTCTCCTCCAGTCGACCGGGGATGATACATGATACAGAAATCCTTTGGTTTCTGTCATCGTTTTTTAAATCGTGCCAGCCAGGTGTGTTTTGTTTGACTGGCGTCTCGTTTGAACTGTAGTTCGACTGTTAACAAGTGATCACTCATTCTATTTACAAACCAGTCGTGGACTGTGCGCTTACCTGATGAGCGATTATATCTGAACATATCAATATTGATCTCGATTATTCAGCGGGTCTGATTGTTCATAGTAATACTTACATTTATGTCTACGTGTTATGCACAATGCATTGGTTGGTTTGCCTAGCTAACTTCTGGATCGACTGATGGACTGTCATTGGTGCATGTCGATAAGTGTTTCACACTTTCGCTTGACTTTAAGTTCAAACAGTCTGTTGCGCAATGCGCATTCTCTGTAGTGACCTTTGCCAATTGGATTCATCATTCTACGTGCACTCATCACCAATCAATGAAACGTCGTTTTGCAGCTGCTGCCTTGTTAGTCTTGGTGACTGACTGTATGTTGTTTACACCTAACAGTATTCAGTTCGTCAAACGCTGTCCTGTTGGTTGAAGCCAATGTGGTGTTTCATGTGAAAAGGTTTCCAACCTTAATCTGTCTAGTATTGTTCATGTTTTCCGGGATTTATCTGACAAGGATTTGCTAATCCGCATCTGGTTCTAGTTTAAATTATGACTTTTAACTGGGAGAGACCAGGCATCTACAAGTAGACGTTTTGGGCC